GTTGTCGGGCTGAAGGGGGCCGCCGAAATTTGCGCCGGGACCGGCTGGGGCGCCGAGGGGCATAGGAGGACCGGAGGAGCCTGAGCCGTGGTTTGCCAGCAGACCGCCAGGGCTGTGGATTGCGCCCATGGCGCGTGATGCGACGGGCTGGTGTATTGGGATCGAGCCGGCATTGCTGTGATGGGGAGGTCCGGCAGGATAGCCCTCGCGAAGTCGTCTTTCGGCTTGTTCCTGTTCGTGTCGCTCTTGTTCACGTCGCTCCTTGTCGCGTCGTTCCATCCTTTCGGCCTCCATGGCCATCAGGCGACGGTTCTCCTCCATGGGATCAAGAACGCCCTCTCCGGCGGGTTTCCCGCTCATCATCCTGAGATCGATCGTCTTCTGAGAATGCAAAAGTTAGCGACGCGAATGCGGGAGGATAGCGAGACAGGAGGGGCTGTGGAAGTTGGCGCAAGCGTCCCAAGAGGGGGGGGCTGGATCGTCAACCGCGCAAGCTTTGCTGCGTCGCCCGGGAGCTTAGGGGAGGAGGATTGCGCACTGGTCGAGCGAGACTTACAGACTGATGATACTGTAGCTAATTCTCTGTCTACATGAGGATCAGGGGGATGGGTCTCGGGAGGCGGGAATGAAGATCAGGAATAACGTCACGCTTGGAAAATTCGTGATGAGCTTGCACCTTGCTCAAACCCCTTCCTGGTTGATTGGAATGAGAGAGCCTGCCCGGGTGCGGCTTTTGCCGTATCACGTGGAGATAAGAATCTTATCAACAAGCTCTGTGACCCGCTAACCGGATTTGGAGCAGTAGCGATTTCATCTGATGTTCCCGTTTTTTGCCGCGGATACGCGATGCTTCCGATTTGCTTGGTTGTGACGTAAAATGCCATGACGACAGCCTCACTCTATGCCGTGTAACGATAAACGTATGCTCTGGTTCCCTGAAGATGCGTGCTCCACCAGCTTGCCCGTGGCTTGAGCCCTTGGAGATGCATCGCTCACATTTCGTCGTGTTTGCACCGGCGACGTCCGCCTCATTGTCTCCCGCACCTCGGCGCGCAAAGAAGCACATGATATAAATATTCCATTGATTTGTAGACTGCGGGTATCCAATCATTCTCTCATCAGTCGTCCTACTCATACCTGGACCTGCCAGCTCACGTCGCGCATTCCTCAGACATAGTTGCGGACTTCCTTGATGATCCACTGCGCACCAATCAGTCTTGTGATCCGGAGCGCCTAGGTTGGCTTGCTGGCAAATTGGAAAACTTACCACTTCACCATTAGCGACGGCGCTTGCGACGTTGACAACCTCGATGTTGCCAGGCTGGATCTGAGGGTACACTCAGTAATTGCGCAAAACAAGCAGTGAAACAGGGAACTCACAAATTTGGTGCCGTCCTTGCTCTCCCACCAGATATCTCTATCATCACCTATCGCCTTGGCCTTGTGGTTTTCGGGCCATGGGCTGACGGTGACCATGTGCGCCTCAACAAATCTGCGAATGTTTCTCTGCGCTCTCTCTTGCCCATCACCACCCTCATAGGCGCTTTCGCCAAAGTGCTGGTACTCCTTGGGGTCTTCCCAGGGCTTCCGCGGCAAGTTCTCGACGGCGGAGTTAAGCGGCGCAAGCACCGTTGTGTTCTGAGTCTGGTCGTCTAACCTGCGAGAAGCTGATTCAATGTCGCGAGTGAAGCTGGCGAAGACGTTGATGCTCCTGTCGCGGCCCATCACATCGGAGAGCCTGACGCCGTCCTGTGCCGGAGGCGGCTGGGAGTCGGAGGGGTCTGAGGGCGGCATGGCTGGGCCGATAGGGTTCACGGGGGCGAGCGGCTTCTGACGGAGAATGCGGGGAGCGTACGGACCGGAGCGTTCAACGGGCAAGGTCATCAACTGCGCCGTGGCTACGGAACATGATAGGAGAACAAGAAGGGTGGTTGACCGTTTCATGATGCTTTCAGGGCCGGATATCTAATGGTCAGATCAGAAAAAGGAATGTCCCAAGCGGTTCTCACGGAGGCAAGTGCACTGGCAGCAAAACTGGTTTGAGCCTCTGGTGGTGCACGTCACTGCAACGCAGTCTGGAAAGGTGCTTGGCGGCGGCTCCTTACGCAGGATGATGCGGCGGCTGGATTCTCCACGGGACCAGAATTTTGGAAATCTGCAGGTCTTGATTGGCTGCATGTCTCATGACATCACCTAATCTGCTGTGTTCAGTGCCTTCCGCCTGCTGTTGCGCCTGCGACGTTGGGGGGGGGGGGGGGGGGGGGGGGGGGCAAACAGTAACGTAGACTGCGCGACACATCTAAAAATGCGAAAATAGCATTTCAGTACAAATCGCATAGATTCCGAGCCTGGACCGGCGTTTCTGCGTCTGACGAGAACCTCATTTCCTTCCTCAGCGGAAAGTGAGTGAAGTCGCCGAGATTCACCGAGCACGACGACATTGTCTCACGATGTGAAGCAGGGCTTCGGAGCCTTTTGTCTCGCAGGAGCAGCGATTGCGGAGACGGCTCGTTCGATTTTGATCTCCACATGTGCGGGCACTGCCAGGTTGCGGTTTGCCAGGCCGGCCGGAGAAGGTGAAGATGCGCGACGGGAAGAGGTCGGGATTTATTGCTACATTCGAACAGGAAAGCAAGGGCTTTCAGCAACAGACGCAGCAGTACCAACCAGCAATTCGCATTGCAAAAGTCTAAGAACCGCTGACCATCAAATTGATAGCCACTGGCTCTTGAATAGCGCAATGGAGCCCGAACCTCCAGCACCGTTTATTAAATCCATGATTCATGAAAGAGACGAATGAAACGAATGAACAGGTGGCAAGTCGGATGTTGTATTGTCGGCGACGTGAAGGAGCAGCATCTGACCATGTCTGTTCCGCCCGCACGTCTGTCCCGAGCTCTTTTGTCACATGCAAGTGCTTCTGCTCCGTCTCTGTCCTGGGCTGTCCAGCGCTGCACGGCTATCCGTACCTGCCTGCCTCGAAGTACCTACTCCAACTCCAGCCCCCAAATGCCCCCCAAATATGCCCCAGAACGGAGGGGGGAAAGGGTAGTACCTTACGTGGGAGGCACGGAGCAGAGGCGGAGAGAACTCGTCCTTCACAAGTGTGGAGGACAAGCTGGAAGACTGAGTGGTCGCCCGGCAGCCAGGCTGAGCCGAAAAGAGGGGACGGCAATGCAGGTGACAGGCTGGCCGAGCTGGGGAAAGTGCCAGTGGGAGTGGAAGATCCTCGGTCAGGTGCTAAAAGTTCCGGACCGGCATCATCTGACCTGATGCACTTGGGAGAATGTGTGGGGGAAGAGGCTTGTGTGGGTGAGACTACCTTAGTGTGTCTGTAGCCCGTGAAGAGAGGGGGCAAATAGGTGCTCGATGCAGCCGCAATGCCTCTAGTGTTGGTGCATTGTTTAGATCGCGTCTGCAAGGAGGCTGGAGAGAAGGGTTTGGGAAACTGTCCCGTCTCCAATGGGCGGTGGCGTTGAAGACTATCAAGATTCACCTGTTCACCGCAAAGACGGGGGTTCTTCTGCATCGTTTTTGACACTAGGCATGACATTTGGTTGGCCTTTTGGCGTGACGGGAGCCATGGCGGTGGGGACAGGAAGCCTGTGCTCGCTGTAAGAGGTGACGGCGTGACGGGATGCCTCCGGTAATTGGGAACCTTGGGACGCATACACAGACAGCGCAGCGGCTTTCGCCTCCGCTTGGGATAAAGCATGAGCGTCAGCGTGACCACGAGCATGACCGTGACCGACAACCTTCACATGTCAGAATGGAAGAGCCTGAAACTGTCAAAAAAAAAAAAAAAAATTCTTCGCGGCCTTCCACGCCAACGTGGTCTCAATTGCCTTGTGAAAGTCGGGTGGCCCGTCAGAGCTAACCTAAAGCTCAACGGCACGCCTCAAGTCGACGACGGGTCGCCACGGATACGGATAGGGGACTCGTCGAATTGCCATCTGCCATCCCTCCTCCAGCCACGGGCATCGACCGACCGTAGGGTACTCGCTCGCTCACTGTAGCACTCTAGCCGGCTCTCTTTCCAATCCGTCTCCTACCGCTGGTCGTCGTGGCCAGCTTCCCCAGCAACAACAGCAAGACAGATCCAGTCCAGTGCATGCCGTAGTCAGTTTCCTGTTGCGTACCCCGTATCGCGGCCCCGTAGGAGCTTCAACAGTTTTGGTGTTCCCCCCCACACTTCCCCCAGTTTTGCTCTTCGCGGTCCACCACCGAAAGGAGCGAAGCCAGGTACTACTCGGCCAGAATTGCTGCGAGAGGCAGAGGGCCCCTTTACGCCTGCTGCTGCGTCGTCAAAAATATTTATAAAACCTCCTCAGCCGGAGTCAATTGCCTCGTGTGCGCAGGCTGCTGTTGCTTCCCTTCTGTCCAGAATCTGTGTTTTCCGGTTGCATCCCATTGTCTCTTTGTCCGACCTGCTGCTGTCCCTGTAAGTACCTGATCCGAATCCACCGCTGGACTGCCTTACCAACTCGCGCATTCTTACTGGCACGTCGCGACGGGTGACGCCAATCTGCCCCAGACGGCACCCCAGCCCAGACCCAAACTGGCCCCAAACCCGCTAGCACCACGGCGGGCGGCCCAGTCGAGTCCCATGAAAATCCCCAGTGCTAATCCCCCTGTTCCCTCCCAGGCGCTTCGACCTCGGCTCACGACTCGCCGTGTCAGCACCGCACCGCACCGCACCGCCGGACCAGCACCACGCCCAAGGCCGCAGCAACACACCCTTTGTTTGCAAGGTACTCGGTACGCATACACCGTACCTTTCTGGCCCTGTCGTGAGGTACCTCCATCGTCCCTCGGCGTAGCTTAGACACGAAGGCGACTGGGACGCTCCTCTCACACGCTCTCGTCCATCTCCCCGTTTTCTTCTTAAACCTCGACCTCCATAAACTCTCCTCCCTTCCCCCCACAAACTTCATCTTCGCCATCTTCTTTGTTGATTCTCCATCCTTTCTCTTGGAGCGCATCTGTACACATCAATCAACATGGCACCCAGAGTTATCGTCGTTGGCGGTGGTCGTAAGTGGCATCTCTCTCCAACCTCGCTCTCGAACGTGCCGTCACATGCTAACGTGTGTTCTCAGTTTCCGGCTTGAGTGCCGCGCACACCATCTACCTCGCTGGTGGCAACGTTGTTGTTCTCGACAAGCAGGGTAAGTCTCACGCTGCGCACCGCGAACAGTCGCAATACTGACTCCGTCGCAATCAGGCTTCTTCGGAGGAAACTCCACAAAGGCCACCTCCGGTATCAACGGTGCCTTGACCCGCACACAGGTCGACACCAAGATTGCCGACAGCGTCAAGCAGTTTTACGATGATACGTTGAAGTCTGCCCGTGACAAGGCCCGCCCCGATCTCATTAAGGTCCTCACATACAAGTCCGCTGCTGCCGTTGAGTGGCTTCAGGATGTCTTCAACCTGGACCTCACCCTCGTTTCGCGGTTAGGGTAAGTTTGCATGCTGCGCGCCCCTCGCCGCAACAGCTACTAACTTCTCATCAGTGGTCACTCCCAGCCCCGTACACACCGTGGTCACGATGCCAAGTTCCCCGGCATGGCCATCACCTACGCTCTCATGCAAAGACTCGAGGAACTCGCCGAGACCGAGCCCCACCGAGTCGAGATCATCAAGAAGGCCCGCGTCACCGGCCTTAACAAGGAGGGAAACACCATCACTGGTGTGAACTACGAGTTCGGCGGAGAGGAGCAGAGGCTCGACGGCCCCGTCGTTCTTGCCACTGGTGGCTACGCCGCTGACTTCGGCGACACCTCTCTGCTGAAGCAACACCGTCCCGATACCTTTGGCCTCGCCACCACCAACGGCTCCCACGCCACTGGTGATGGCCAGAAGATGGTCATGGCCATCGGTGGTAACGGTATTGATATGGACAAGGTCCAGGTCCATCCTACTGGTCTGGTCGACCCCAAGGACCCCGGTTCCAAGTGGAAGTTCTTGGCTGCTGAGGCTCTTCGTGGTGAGGGTGGTCTCCTGCTGAACGCTGACGGTGACCGTTTCTGCGACGAGCTTGGCCACCGTGACTACGTCTCCGGTATGATGTGGAAGGAGAAGGACAAGAACAAGTTTCCTATCAGACTTGTCCTCAACTCCAAGGCCTCAAACGTTCTTGACTTCCACACTCGCCACTACTCTGGCCGTGGTCTGATGAAGAAGATGAGCGGCCAGGACTTGGCCAAGGAGATTGGCTGCTCGCCTGACCACCTCCAGAAGTCCTTCCAGACCTACAACGCCATCGCTGATGGCAAACAGAAGGACCCTTGGGGCAAGAAGTTCTTCCACAACCTGCCTTTCGACATCAACGACACCTTCCACGTCGCCGTTATGGAGCCCGTCCTCCACTTCACCATGGGAGGTATCGAGATCAACGACAAGGCCCAGGTCCTTAACTCTGAGCAGAAGCCCTTCGACGGCCTCTACGCTTGCGGTGAGCTGGCTGGTGGTGTCCACGGTGCTAACCGTCTTGGTGGTTCCTCTCTTCTTGGCTGTGTCGTCTACGGCCGTGTTGCCGGTGACACTGCCAGCAACTACCTCTTCCAGCAGGCCCTCAGCGGCGCTGGTGGTGCTGCCGCCCGTATGGGACAGATCTCGCTGCACCTCGACCCTGCCCAGCCTGGCCGTCTGACGATCGACTGGAACAACGCCGGCGGTGCTGGTGGCCAGGGCATCCCTGCCCAACAGACCACCTCGGCGGCAGGCCCCACACCCGTCCAGAACGGACAGAAGGCCGACAAGCCCAACGACCCCAAGAAGTTTACCATTCCCGAGAAGGAGTTCTCCATGGAGGAGGTCGCAAAGCACAACACAAAGGAGGACCTGTGGGTCGTCGTTAAGGGCGTTGTGATGGATCTCTCCAACTGGTTGGAGGAGCACCCCGGTGGTCCTCAGGCCATCATGAACTTCATGGGTCGTGACGCGACTGAGGAGTTTGAGATGCTGCACGACGACGAGGTCATTCCCAAGTACGCACCACAGCAGGTGATTGGCCGCGTCAAGGGCCAGGAGCCAAGCTTGGAGCTGTAAGTACTAGGATGACGGACGTTTTAACGATGGCATTGGCTTGGGTAAAATAGTGATAACCGGAGTACTGGGTGCGCATTGGCGCACTTTTGATTTGGGCATTTTCTTCATGAGTAGTCACTATCGGGATTGTATTCATAGATACATTTTGTAGTCTCTTGGATCCAATGGAACTCCATACTTCTCTGTTCACAACCTTGTTGCTCATCTCTTCGCACGCGACTGTCACGTAGTAACCCTAGCCATGCCGGCGCCAAGTCAGTTGACTCTTCACGTGCATGCCGATGCCGGCATCCGGGTGTTCCGCCTTTCTTTCGGCCGACTGATTCCCCACTGACCAAATCGCGGCACATTTCCCCCCGAATCGCGTCACTATTCCCCCGAAAACCCGAGCCGCGACCGCTCACCACACGCAGCAAAAAAAAGAAACAGGAAATGGTCCCGGAAGCCAGCCCGTGCAGATATATACTCAGTTTGACGGTGTCAAGAGCAAGGCGTTGTGCCTCACCATTTCGATTAGGCAAGGTCAATCAAGTCTCAGAACTCCCGATGGCCGTGCCTGGAGGAGCAGGAGGTGGTCTACACTGGCCGCTTCGTCAACGTCGCTTTCACGGGCGAAGCAGCGCAAATAATGTGCTGTGTGGTTTGAGGATTTGGGTTGACGAATGACGCGGTGCTGATGACCTCATGAACCCTTGGTGAACTAAGGCATACCTTCTTGGTGACTGGTCATAGAGAGATCCGTCCTCCCGGCGACCTGGTCTAGATTTATGGAAACATCTGAGTGCCCTACACATCAAATTAACGATCAATAGCCACTTGGCGCAATAGGAGGAACCGCCCAATCTCCTTGTGTCTGCGCTGCTATTTTTACTATGTATTTAACACACTCATGCAGAAGACCGGTAGAAGCAGTAATAATAGCGGCGACGACGACGACCGTAAGGTAGAAGATGGCATAGTCAAAGTAGTTGTTGTAGCCCAGGAAAGATGGGCGGTCTATCGTAGAAAGCCTTTAGTTTAGTGTGAAGTAGTGAAGAGTCAGGTCGATGGGTGACATGGACATTTGTTCTGACTAGAACTGTGCACGCAAGCCGAGTTGCAGAGGCTGTCACTGAATATCATGAAGTAGGGCCTATATACCTACTGTCACACGTGTGCTACTCGGACGAAAAATGTTGTGTCGTGTACATCAAGGGTAGATTTTTAATATTCTGATGACGGAATTCACTCGCGCTTTTCTTTTGGCACACAAAACTAGCTTCATTGATGGAGGAAGACAAAAATGAATTGCGACTGCATCGAACTGATTCCCCCACGTCATTCGACAACGCTCCGTTCCCCTCCGGACTCTCATTTTCTAGCCGCAGATGTGGAGAAGTTGAGATAGAAAAAGTTGAAAAACTGCCATTGAAAATTGTGCGTACCGGCTTGCTGTTCTAGTGGTATCATCTTCTGTGTGTAACAACCCGCAACGTAAAAAAGAAGAAACAGCAGACAAGGTATTAGCGACTAATTACTGAGAAGCCTAGATCCGGCCAGGGACCCGGTGAAGCCGGAGACATCCGTTTTTATCTCGAAGAATTAGAGACCGGAAGAAATGGTGCTTTTCTCGTGATGGGGGTGGCGATGCGGGAGTCATTCAAAGAATCGCAATAAACTGAAAATCAAATCGTTCGGCCTCATATCGGGCCCGTCAATCTATCGGCGGATGGGAGGAGGTGTGCGGGCGCCCGGGGCGGTGGAGTTCTCCATGTTGCCCGTGAGCTCCGCAACCCGTGCCTTGATGCGTGCGACGCGAGACTCGATTGCTGCAACAGTGTCAGTTGGCTGGTGATTGGATACCCGGTAACATGATTGCACTTACTCTCTTCTCCGCTGGTGTCGTCGTCACCATCAGTGGTCTTGCTGTATCCACCCCGACTCTGCTCTTCGCTCTGGCGCTGGGCCGCACGCTCTGCAGCATTCTTGCGGATTTGCGCCCATCGATCCTGCGCCTGGGGGCTTCGGGACCCATCAGTCGGGGACACGGGTGAGACGGGGGACATCTTCGCGGGCGGTTCGGGCGTCTTGTGTCTCGCGATGGGGGGAGGAGCCGCGTCATCATCATCGGAATCGTCGGGCACGAACGCGGGCTGCTCCTGGAGGGGACCCTGATCGAAACGGGAAAATTCGGTGTGAGCCTCGTTGGCGTCCTCGGTATCGATGCGAGAGAGCGATTCATCAACCGACGGCTCATACTGCGGCTCGTGAGCTTGGGTCTCAACAGGGGCTGGCTGGGGCGCCTCCATCGGCGTGGCGTAAGCCTCGATAGGTGTTGGTGTGGGAAGGTTGGACTCAGTGGCAGTGGGCTGGGGAACGGGAGACGGAGCGTGTCTTGGCGGTTCGGGAGTTGCTGTTTCGCGCTGAAGCATACCGTTCACATCCGCGGCGGCGTTCTCAGGGAGCTTGGAGTTCCGGTTCTTGTTACGACCAAACAGCTTTCGCAGGCCGCCACCGCCAGTCTTTTCCTTGTGAAGCTTCTTCTGCTTCTTGTCCTTGGGGCTGGTGTCCGGTTCCGGCGTGAACATATTTTCGCGGCCCAGGTCGAAAGAGTCCTTCGGCGGGGGCATCGGCGAGCTTCGTCCGCCTGAGTCGAATCGTTCGGCGGGCTGGAGGCCACTCGGTGTCTCAGTATCCCTCTCGATGGGCGCGGGCGGTTCGTCGTTGTGTTGGGACGGCAGCGGCGAGGGTGTTCGGGGGATGCCTGGCGAGTTCATGGTCAATGGCGAAGGCTGAGGTTGTAAAGAAGGTGACTTTTCCGGAACTTCAGGGCGAAGCTCGTCACCATTGGCGTGGCCGTTCGTGTACTCGTTTTGGCCGTGGCTTCCATTTCTCTGCATTGTGGAAACTCCGATACCGCGACCAGCAGTGTTGTTTGCGAGATAGGCCTCCCGAATCGCCTCCTTGTCGTATTTGTTTGCCCACTTCATTGCCGGAGAAGCTTGCTTCATGATATCGGGCTGGAGAGTCATCACGCTAGTAGTCTTCTCCATGGCCGATGCATCATTGCGTCCTCGGCGTGCTGCGAGTATTTGCTGCTGCTTCAGTTGTTGCTCCTGTTGCTGACGCGCCTGGAGCTGTGCGGCAGCTGCCTGGATGCGAGCTTGTTGATCTGGACCAATGCTCGACTTGCTGACATTTGGGTCCTCCTTCTTGCTCCCCTTCTCCAAGGCGTGCTTTCCAGTCGACTTGCGGCGGTTGACGCCCTTGTTACGTCTGGTCCAGCTGAAAAAGCCCTTCTTTTCGGCAATGTAGGCGCCTTCTTGAGGTTCAGGGGCAGCTCCGGCCACCATCTCTTCCATGACAAGCCATCTTCCAGACCGAATGGCGGTCTCGATGACGGCACAGCGGCCGAAGGCTGACTTTCTTTCCGGCGTCTCCTCAGGAGCAAGACTGCTCATCCAGACCCACCAGAACGCTTCATCCAGGTCGAAACGTGCTATGCTTGCCAATTCACCGGGCTCCAGACGATCCGATTCGAGTCTAGGGTTGTGGGATTGAGAACTTCGTTGGCGGACAGCTGTCTCAATTGGCGGCAGCACCTTATCGGGCGGCAAAAGCATGTTAGGGTTGTTCGGGTTGTCATCAACAAAGCCCGATGACAGGAAGTCTGCCCAAGACGGTGTGGTTGGTCGGCCAAGACCAACGTTTCCAGCTGCCGGTGTCGTCCTCAAGCCCTGCGGCTTGCGAGCGGCGGCGGCCGCTTCCTCGTCATCGTCCTCATCCTCGAGAGCACTGGTAAAGCCAATGTCTTCGAAACGTGACCAGGAGGCATCGCGCAAGCTGGTGGAGTGCTTGGAGCTAGACACTTGGGACTGGTTGGCCGAAGAAATCGCCTTCAAGACACGGCGGCACTCTTCGGTAAGGGCCTTGACGGGATCCTCGTACTCGGAAAACTCTCGCAGAGCTCGATCTTCGTCACGATACTGGAAATGGTTTGCCCTCCTCAAAAGGGCGAAAGGCGTTGGGGAAACTGCGTCGACAATCATGACCACCTTGTAGGTGGAGGACTGCATCAGCGAGGGCTTCTGAGGGGGGTACTCGGTTTCCTGCAAGAGCTTCTGTAGTGACATGGGCAACATGGAGATGCTGCCTTGGGAAGGCTTCTGGGGAGCGAGCGACCTGAGGTATGCGAAGAACAGATGGCTCGTAGCATCGGCGGCGCTGTAGCGTGTTAGCGCTGACGATTCGCAATTGCAAAATTTATACTCACCTCGCCCATGACTTATAGCCACCCTCAAAGCCGCTGCCCGTATCTTTGTGCTCAAACGCCCACCATGCACCCATACGAGAGAGCTTGCGGCCACCCAAACCGTTCATCTTTCCATGAGCTGCAATCGCGGAAAGAAGGTCGAAAAAGTCGAAAATGATACATGATCGGGCGCCGTTGTCGACACTGAGGGGGATGAATGTCTTGAACGAGTCTCTCGCCATGTTCGAATCTGGAAGGCGCATGAGCCACTGTCGTATGGCACGGGGTGGCTGATCCTTGTGTGCGACTTACCTTGCTCGCCAACTTTGAACAATTCATACGCATCCCAACCAACAACACCACCCGGCAATCTGCTCCAACACCATTTTACAACGCCGGCGATGACCTCGATGGTGTTAGCACGACCCAAGGGACCTCATTCTCAAGACACATACCATGGGTTCGGTCATGCGAAGCTCTTGCGACAAGAACTCGCCGCGAAGCGGTTGATTGCCATCGAAGAAATGGCGGATGAAGGTACGGACAGCACTAGGGTCCGAGGTGGGACGGAATGGAAGGAGCAGGAAAGGGTGGTCCAGAGCTAGAGACGGAAGGTAGCATGTCAGTTTTGCAGTCGCGATAGGTCGCATTGGGCACAAAGATTGATGCGTGCACATGCAAGATATGCAAGAAGGTCGTACCTCGAGCCTTGAGCTCCTCAGTGCAGCGTCTGATCAGGTCCTGAATCTCCTCGGGTTCGACCGTCTTTCGTGTATAAGCGTCGTCCCATCGTGGCTTCGCGGGGAGATGGTCGGCAGGATCGAAGTTCGCGCCCTTCTTCTTCTTGGTCGCACCGTCTTTGCCCTTGAGGCGGGAAAACAGGCTGGGCATTTTTGCGGTGAGAAATCGCCTTCAAGAAGACGACTGTTTGTTGAAGCGGGGGGAGGCGCGCGGCATTCGAAGAGCGGACGGAGAGGTCGACGAAGTCGTCGTGGCTGCTGCGTCGACGAGGGGTCGGAGACCGTTAAAGGGATCTGAGACACGGGGAGCCAAGATGATCAAGGTTGCGGATTCGCCTCGCCTCGGGTAGTGGGAATTGGTGGGGGAGTCGCGAAAGATGCGCGATAGGGGGGCGAGGAGGAGTAGGTATCGTCGACGGAGGACGGTGTTGCGCGTTTGTCGAAAGTCAATAATACGGCGTTGTTGCAGTTCCCCACGCAGACACTCCGCTAGGAGATTGCGGCGAAAGGGAAAAGAGAAAGAGATTCGAGGGTATATGGGGAAAGAACCGAGATTCTAAGAAACGAAAGTAATTCTCCAGCAAGGGAAAGCGAGAGGAGGAGAAAGGAAAAAGGTGTGGCTGTGGTGTTGACTGCCGGGCTGCTTGGGCAAGAACCAAAAGAAAGAGGCAGCTTCACTCTCTTTCTCTCTCTCTCTTTCTTGGGTTCAGGGGCGGGCGAACAAGCGGCGGGCTATTAATTGGAGAAAGCGGGAAATGGTAATATTTGGGGGGGTCCCCTGGAGGCTTGGCTCCCGCGCTCTTCCTGCTGGTGCTTGTCTCTTTCTTTTTTTTTTCTCTCTTTGCTTTTGCTTGCTGTATTTTTTTCCTTCTGCTTTTGATCTGGCTCCCCTGTCTGCGTCTCTGTGGACTGAAGTATCTTTTGTGTGACGGTCACAGCAGACGGGTACCTGAGGGCGACCCCGAGGTGGCAGCCGAATAGGGGATAGCGGCAATGCAGCGGTTTAGGGGAGGCTTCCAGTCCGTGGGTCGCGGGTGTGGGTCGTGGGACTCTGTGCTCCGTGCAGAGGTGCAGCAGTGCTGCGTGCAAGTGGTGACTGCAGCGGTGGTGTGCAGCAAAAGGCGGCGGCAGCAGCAACAACAGCAGCAGCAGCCTCCACTGGGATCTTGTTTGAGGGGCTTTTGGCGGCGTATGGTAGGCTCGCAAGTTCTCTGGGCCGTTGTTTGACCTCTCGACCGAGGGCAGGTTCTCGGGTGATGCTAGTGGCACCTAAGGATCAGGCACAACACACAGTGGTGGGAGGAGGAGGGGCAGGCAGGCCCTGAAATGAAATTAGATCGCTGGATAGAGGACCCTGGCTGAGTGCCACAGCCTACAGGGCCACAAGACCGCCCGCCGCTGATGGAACGAGGCTTGCAAGTTGAGGTGCGGGTGATCTCTCGAGACCTCGACCTTGACCTTGGGCAGGTAACCAAGTCAGGCACCGTACCGTTCTGTACCGCACGCTCGCTGCAATCTCGACCAGTCGATGGAGTCCGATGTGCAGCTGGGCGGAGAAGCAGGCAAGGAAGGTGCTCGTGAGTAGTGGGGGAGCTAAAGAATTTGGGGCTGCAAGGTGCAGACTAAGATCTCAGGCGACGATGTTAGTATGGGCGTAGAAGACGGTGGGAGCGTCGCCGCGCCCGGACGACTCACAAGAGGCGGACGGGTGGTGTTGATGGCAATGACGACTCGGCAGAGAATCCAGAATCCAGAATCCAGAACAGGGCCGGCCGCGCAAGTCTCAACATGAGTTACTTCCATGCATCCGGGATAAGAAGGTGTGTGTAATGCAGATGCAATGCCAATGCCCCGGCAAGGAAAACCTCAGACGAAAGAGACGATGGAGCAGTTCCGGCGTCAGTACCAGCCTCGGCGGCCACACTGGACGAGCAGAGAGGGAGCCAGTAGCTGCTTATCAACCACTCAAAGAGATGGCGGGAATGCAGACTCCTTCATCTCGCGTGGGCATGCTGTCATCGACAAGGTTGAAGAAGGTTAACATCCATCACCACTTGGGCACCATGCGATGCGTTAAGAGCACGTCGGGTATCTGGATCTGTATCTCTACTTTGGCCATCCATCTCGTTGAGTCGGACTTGAACTTGTTCAGCTCCTCGGCTCCCAGAGATGAGGTACATAGCATTCCTCTGACTTTACTATGTATACACGAGACGAGACGAGGTGAGGTGAAGTCCATTTGCTATTGACCATGGATGGCTTGAGACAAGCTGTCTCTGATGCGCGGTGCTTGGTATGGGCAAGCGTGGACATCCCATCTGTCGAGTGCACCTTATTTGAGCCCCTGTACCCGCTAGTTCCGGTCGGCGCTGGGTGTTGGGCTGAACTTGAATCTGAACGAGTCTTTCGCGTCTCTTGTCCAAGTCTTACAGGCTGCTTTGCTCCGGCCGTTGCATCTGGAAGGGAGCAGAGGGATACAAATCGGGAGCAGCAAGAATTGCAATTAATGAGATAGAAGGCGGTGCGGTCCAGTCCAGGCTCAGGACTCAGGTTGTCTTCATTCATTTCATCATCCACCATCAAAATGTTCAGCCATTGAGAGCAGGGCACCCTGTTGGTCCGGCCTGCCCCCCTTCCTTCCCCGTAAGGCACCACGGTACCGCACCCAGCACCACAATCCACCACACCACCACAGCCGTCTCCTCCTACTTCTCAAGTGGTGCATTGTGGTCCTGTCGCTGTCGCTCATCATCTCTGGGCCCTTACCTCATTCTAACCCACCCAGCGGCCCTGCCGCCAGGAGGAGCATTGCTAGCTAACCAATTGGCAGTGGGGGCGGACCCTGTCTCGTTTCGGACCTTCGTTGACTCGTCCCTCACTTCCCACCAAGATCCAGCAGCGTTGCGATCCCGAGATGCGAAGCAACAAAACTGCCCTCTTCATCACCATCCAAGTACACATCACCTTGCAGCTGTGCATAATACCTTGGGCTTGGAGGGTGTACACACGACCATGATTTTGTCTCGTCGCCTGCAGCTCAGCCCAAAGGAAAGCGCGATGCCTCAAGCCCCCTCTCAGTGTTTTCGCTTTCGGTGCTCGGTCCAACACTAACACGACCTCAACAGGTCCAGTCTATCGTTCCATTGACATCGCTTCATCTTCCACGGTCGCTGTACGTAATCGCCTCCGGTCCATTCCCCGCGGCCTGTGTTCATGTCAGGAACATCCGACATACCCAGGTACGGACTTATCACGGCGTAAATTCTACCGCATTTTTGTAGCACCCTCATTGAGCTCATGTCTCGCAGCATCCTCAGCTGGGAAAGCAACAAGGCATAGCATGATGACCACTAACACGACGAGACGCGTCTCGAATGTGAACCTGCCGCCAGGTTACTTTGGCTTCCGGCGCCCGCCCGTCTGCCCCACTCCCCGGCAAGCCACAGGACGCGGCAACATGCTCGTGTCGACGACCTTGGAGGAATCCAATTGTCCCAGAAAGAAATAGCAAGACTCGAAGCGACATCCGAGGAAGAAACCATGAGTCTGGGGCACCGCCGTGCCGCCTCAATGGCCCGAGAGCGATGTGGGAAACCCCCAACTCAGCGCCGCCAACGGTCCGGGCAGGACGCCACTTCGGCCGCCCTGAGGAGCCTTCTTACTCAGAACAATCTGCCTCTGACACCCAATCTAAAGCGACTCGCCAGCTCCCAGCACACCGGGATTTGCCAACAATAGGACGACAATTCTCCTGCGTGAGGGAAGTCGCTTCGCCGTGCATGAGTTGGCCGTTGCCAGCACATCCTCGTCGCTACTCCCATCCACCATTCACAGCCGGCTTTCTTCACATCCTCAGAGCCGAGCACCCCGATGGAACAAGTCATTGGCTGTGTTCTGTGCGCTTGATCGGCGTGTGCTGGCACCCACCACAAAGTCCTGTCAGGCTTGACGGGCAGCAGCTCTCTGGTTACTTGCATTTCGGCTGATCGTGCGCGTCACTGACCCTCTAGGCCCCAGTAGATGTCGCGCCGATGAAATCTCGCTACCGCTCTTTTCTCCGTCCGGAGACTTCTCCTCGGCGGATGTACAATCGGTACCGCTGAGGGTGACAGATCACCATGATGCCACTGACAGGATACGACACGGAAGCGAGCTGGCAGATGCCACGAATTGGCACTGCAAGGTGCCATGGGCTCCCTCAAACCATTCATCGGCGAATGCGACGGCGCTCGAGCCTCCCGTTGTTTTTCTGTGCCTCCTCTCGCACATTCAAATCGGTCGTGCCAGGGCCGCATGAACGCACCTCCAAGGGGGGCTTGGGGGCTCAAGGACCTGCTTGCCTTTGCGCGTCTGATCCCGGCGTCTTGACTGGCCAGATCAGATGCGAAACTTCTTCCCGGTTTGTCGATTACAAAAAAAAGAAGAAGAAAAATTGCTGGCTGCACTACCGATCGATCAACGTCAGAAATGTCTGTCCATACTCCACCGAATGACCAACTCAATTATCGGACGATGTCTTCTATGGGTCTCGGCTCTAATTGGGGAGACGAGCCGCCAGTGTCTTACACAGAAACGTCACCAATTCTCCAGCTTTCCCTCCACGGCTGCGGCGAACATGAACCCTTCGACCGCTACGCCAGCGGCTGCCACTGCACAACCCAAATCTCAGCATGCCAATTACCGCCGCATGTCTCTTTTTTGACTTACCGGCATAAAGTCCCGGTGGCATGGCGCTGCAACCAACCCAATGGCTTCCCCGAACGTGACAAGACCCTTAAATTCCCTGTTTAAATGACATAAGCAAGTTGTCCGTCATTTAGACTCATCAGGGTTGTGAGATGGCATGTGACCCGCGGAACGCGCTTCAACTTCTGCAACGCACAATATAAGGTAATTGGAATATCAAACCCGTCTGGCTTGCAAGAACAATTTCGACGGAATGTAGGGCGAAAAGGTGCGCTCTCGCGGAGGGAACAAGGAAAATCGCACATTGACCAATCGCTCGACACACGATTAAGATGAACCCGCGAGACACTTTCACCTGCCTGAGCACCAGCATTGCGTAATCGGTCGCATTAGGTTTCCGTCCTTGCGTCCGGCCCGGGCGGCACCGGAATCGGGACCGCGATGTGGGTCCCAGAACCCGGAGGC